TCGCTGGCTCTTGCTGAACTTCGATGCCCTGGGAGCCGTTGCTGTCCTGGTGTCAACCTTGTTCTCGATCGCCACGCTCACCGATGGGGCTGGCCTTGCTGGTCTTTGTATAACGAGTGCCATGGCTTTCACATCTTCAGGTGAGAGTTGCTTCTAGTATGTACGACCACGGCTCTGAACTCTTTCTAGTTTATTGGGCATGTCGATTCTGGACTGGTGAGGCATTCCTTTTGGTCGTTTCTTCGACTTTTTGATAACCCTCGCTTTTACAGCTCTGGAACTGGATCTCAAGTAAGTCCCTCGATGTGACGACGTTAATTCTATTCATATCGAGTCTTCTCAGCTCCGTTGAACGTGTTGTCGAATAGTGAGCTATTCTTTCTGCGCTCATCGACGACCTCTAATCCAAGACCGTCATTTAGTCTGGACCTTCCTCAAGAGCCACCCGCAGTAATCGAGTCTAACCGCGTTCCTGCGTACTGGCCTTCAAGTTCCAACAACGACGCCCTTATTCGGGTTGAGAATCTCGAAGTCAAGTATGCTTCGGATCTCCCTGCCGTGCTTCACGATGTTTCCTTCACCTTGAAGGCGGGTGAGAGTGTTGGTCTCCTGGGTCGTACTGGTTTGTTTTGCCTTATCTTAATCCGGACGTAATCTGATGTTTGCGTTGATAGGAAGCGGAAAGTCGACCTTGGCAATGAGTATCCTCAGATTCGTAAGTTTCTTGATACTACGCCTCCAACATAGTCGCTTAGTCGCCTTTCAGGCCGACCCTTCCAGTGGCCGTATTATCATTGATGGAATTGATATATCTACAATTGGTATTCATGATCTCCGTTCGAGATTGGTAGGCACACGGTTTCGGTAAATTCTTACCAGCATCTAACTATCATCACAGACTTTCATACCCCAAGACGCTACGTTGTTCTCGGGCACTCTTCGAGACAATCTTGATCCGTTTGGTACGTCTATGGTAATGGCGTCTTTCTTTTGCTAAATCTCCTTGTTTAGGCGAACACACCGATAGTGAATGTCTGGACGTCCTCCGCCGTGTCCAAATGATTACGGACAGCCCTCAACAAATTTCGCGGGAAACATCCGCCTCTTCTTCTCGTGCCTCTTCCCGGCCAGCGTCTATCCGCGATGTCGAAAGAGAGAGTATAGTCGGCTCCGTGTCTACTGCGACCGAAGTAGACTCGAAAACTACTGTCACGCTGGACACCAAAGTTTCGGCTGGGGGAACTAATTTCGCCCAAGGTCAACGGCAACTTATCGCCATGGCCCGCGCCTTACTGCGGCGCTCGTCAATCATCGTTTTGGATGAAGCTACGAGTAGTATTGATTTCGCAACCGATGCGAAGATCCAGGCTACCATTCGCGAAGAGTTTAACGACTCCCTTCTACTGACAGGCGAGCCCCCCACTACCTCCATTCTTTGTTCTATCTGACCCAATTCCAGTGGCCCACCGTCTCCGCACCGTTATCGATTATGACCGCCTCATTGTTTTGGACAAGGGACATGTAAGTGCATGATGCGGACTTGCAGTACATCAGCTCAGATTTGCTCTACAGATCGTCGAGTCTGATTCTCCGTGGAATCTTATACGAAAGGAGGATGGAATCTTCCGCGGCATGTGCTTGAAGAGTGGATCTTTCAGCGAGTTGGAGGCGGCTGCGAAGGCCAAGGCTGAGCACCAATGATATGATCTATTCACTCTCATTTACATCCGAAGTCTAGCTATATGTTCAATAGATCTGCTGCGTAATGCAATGTACCGGTATCAACACGCAGCTTTCAATTTGGTTCAGCAGCTTTAATGGCACTATCTGTAGCCCCGAACGCTTCCCTTAAAGCGGCCGCCCATGGAGCATAGTTTCCCGGGTCCTTTGAAACTTCAGCCTTTTCAATATGAATGAACTTGCCTGATGCACCTTGTGCAGTGGCCCCTGATCGCATACATGTGAAGGGTCAACGTTGTTGAGGTACCTCCCTACAACATTCTTTGTCGCTGTAAGGAGGCAACTGTCGTCCGAAGGAAGAGATATGTTCCAATGAGGAAAGGATCATATGAGTTGTGTCTTCAAACGCTTGACGGGACGATCGACGTCGTCGGTGTACCATGCAATGGACGCCTTGCCACGTCCTGCGTGATAGGTAATGAACTCGAGGAAGAAAAAGCAGCCTGTACGGTATAACTTACCCAGACCAGCGGATAGGAACACTTGTTCCGAGGCGCAAGTTGTTCTCGCTTTCCCATGCATTTGAATGAAAGCACACGACGTAGCAGGGCAACCCCCATTCTCGTTCTGCCACGCTATGATGGCCAAATTTGCATCGAAGAACGGTTCGCGCTGATGAAATATTTCAGTACTGTGATTTCGTAATTTCAACTTCATACGCACGATGCTATGAGTAGGATCCGTCATATAGTAATGCTGACCACCTTGACTAGAAGTAACGCAGTCAGAAGGCAATATTGAAGCCGTCCGCTTCCTCCCAGTGATGAGCAGGCTCTTCGCGCCCGTCGCCTTGAACAAGGAAGCTGCTTGCTGTGGGGTGTCCCCGTCTCCACCGGGCCATCCTGGATGTGGAGCGGAGAAATGGATAGAACGTGAAACGTCCGCACGTAGTTCGGGAACGACAAAGAGGCCCCATCCTTTCGCGTAATGTCCCGATTCGACGCTAGATTCGTAGAGTACGCAAAAAGCGGTGCCGGACGAGTCGGTGAATGGCGCGACGGATATTATTGTGTTGATAGAGGGAGGTATAAAGATTGAAGAGCAGTTTCCGTCCACGTTTAAGACTGCTGTTATGACGTCTGACCACGCCTGTCGTTGAGTAGCGTTTGGCTGTGCTGCGTCGTAGGATGGGTAGTCGGGGTATTTTCTTTCCGGAACTGTGAAAGGATGGAAGCAGTCGATAAGGTGCTCTAGAGTGGTGGATGTTGAAAGACAGGTGGAAGTTGATCGGGATGGTACCAAGTATTGAGCAGCCAAAAGAGCGAACTTTGATAGCTGATTCAGCCACATTCTGCTGGTAGTTCTTGTGATGTGGAGGCGTTGGCTGGTTTAGCAGTGGCAGCAAACCGGCGGGCAGGACCTTGAGCTGTCGTTGATCAACGAATTGAAAGGTAAAATGGAAAGATGAGGCTCACCTCGGAGTTGGATGTACACGTCCGCGTTACCTCACCCACATCACTCGGAACTACATACGCTCATGAAGTTACGAGAGATTGGACACGTTTAGAGTCCAACGACGCTGAGGGCGACGAGCAAGTTGGTTTTGAGTGGAGAGTGTAAGTCCGATAAACTCGGATTTCGGTTGATGCCATCGCTTGGCCATCGCCTCAAGGTATTGTGCCTCCGAGATATAAGTATAACAAATCCAATCGTGAATTGTAAACGGTCGCATGGTATACGCTATAATACATGCAAAAATTCCTGGCAAAGTAAGGGAAATCGACAAGACAGTGCGCGAAGCAACGTTTGCGCTGATTGGTATGATCGCCATGAGGACACAGTTCGACGAGATGCACCAGAAGAGGTTGTTTGTTTTGCATTTGGAGAATGTATGTTTTTGTTTTGGAATAGAACTTAATGCTTATAATGGTGGTTTTGGTGGTTAGATCACCTCGCAGGAGGGACACCTGCACCTTGCAGCGGCGGATGGCGCACTGGGTTTCGAGCTTCTCGTGCAAGACATCGTGAATGACTCTGGAGCGACGGACGTCGCGCCTATCTCTGTTCATCGCGAATGGATGTCGCGCCCATCCCTGCTGTGATGGATGGCTATAACTCTGATTGGGACTCGCTGTACCCATTCTTTACTGTGACCTTTGGCCTGAATCTGCTTTCCTGCAGCAGCTGATACCTTTGTAGTTCTTGACCCTTACAAGGTCCCGCTGGATGTGGAGCCGGGACACGTATCTCTTTGGGTTAAGGAGAAGGCGTTTGTAGTGTCTGCCTTAATGATGTCAAGGACTTGATCGCTATGACGCGGAGCTTGACTATCAAGGTTGACCATGCAGTTGCCATGCAGGTCTTATTTGGACAAGTGCGTTTCCTTTTTTCCCCGATTTCTACGCACATCGACTTAATTGAAACCCTTGTCAGCCATCGCCTTTGACGCTCACGTTCTCAAGTGGAGTTTGGACGACAGTGCCTGGCATCACGTCAAAGAGGCGTCGTTCTACGGGACTGATACCTACTCACTGGCATTTGACATGGTTATCAAGGTGACGGACGATGGCCCTGAGCTCAGCGTCAACTTTACTGGGATGCAGGAGAAGGGAGTGTGGCCTGGTAAGAAGAGTGTTGAAGCGGAGGGAAGGCTTGCGATGCGGTTGCTTGAGGAGCTTGATTCTTGGTTGGAGGTGAGGACGGGGGAGCAGTGGATGCGCTTTTAATGGGATGCATAGCGGGGAGTGTGGTTGTGTAGAAGAAAACATGAAGAAGGATAACCAATTTCGCGGCCAGGTCTTGTGGAACTGAAATCGTCATACCAATTTTTGGATGTTGTGGAGTTTACTATCATTATGTATACAATTTACCAACTCATGCATTTGCCTCACTCTATTTCTTCGTTTCCTTGAACAGCTTCGCCAAGGTCTTGCTAGAGTCGGAAACTTCATCCATGAGGTCCCCCATCGCCTCCTGTATTTCCTCTGCCACCCCTTCCTCCTGTTACTACGTCATATTATCCATCTTCTGCACCGTCTCGAACAACTCTCCCAGTTCCTCCGGAGCCTGCTCTTGGAATTCATGCAAGCGCTTCATTATCTCCTCTTCTTGGTCCTCTGGAACCTTTCCACGCATCGACCCCAATATCTCCTCTGGCACCTTCGTTGTCTCCGGCTGCTCTTCAACAGCACCCTCTTTTTCTTCCCCCTCTGACTGCATCAGGGCTTCAGCTTCCCCGATATAATGGTCCAACAGCGCCTCGGTCGGTGCGGAGGTATATTCCGAATACTTCTCTCCCAAGATAGGTATGACCGTATCATCATGGTCCAAAATCCTTTGCACAACCCTATCGCCCTCAGGATCCGGCCTCAGCTTGACCAAATTCATCCCACCACCAAAATCACACAAAAGCTGCACCATCCTCTTCCACGGCCGCCAATAAGCACGGCGATACCTGGGAATTATCCCCCCATGGAAAGTCGATGCTGCAAACGGCTGGTGACTCGATGTTAGAGCGTCTGTCCGGTGAGCACAACAACAGGAGAAGTGCCTGCAAAAAAAACCAAGAGGGGGCTGAAAAGCATCGATATATTTTTCCTGTAAGGTCGCGAGGGCAACTTGTGCTGGGGGGTGATGGGAGTCCCAAGTCAACATAGAAGCTAGGGCAATCAATGATAGCAATCCTACCATGCAACAGAAAGACTTAGATCCTTCTGAATTGAGGGCAAAGTATAATAGATCAGCCATAGGCTGGGGAACTGGCAGAAAATGACAGAGGAAAGGAAAAGAAGATGAAGTAATTGTCTACTGAGCGAAAAGTTTGAGTCCCCAGAACTCATGAAGCTGGACCACGGCCAAAGGGTACATACGTGCCGAACTTTTCAAAAGCCTCCTGAACAGACTCCCCATAGTCCACCACACCCGAATGCCCTTTGTTCTTCGCCTCTGTGAGTGTAGCACAGTTTGTCTCCGATGACTGGTACATGGTCGCCTCATTGAAATAGACCAAGCTGCCGCGCCCCTGCTCATCGCCTTCAACCAGCGGCTCAGAGTTTTGGCGGGTAGGTTGCTCCCCCTCTGGCGCAGTGACAAACTCAAAATCTGTTGGATTTTAGCATGGCTATGTTAGATGTATGAGGTTGCTCACCAGTCAGGTCAATATTGAAGTGGAAGAGCAGTGAAGAGGGGTAGGCAGCCAGCACCCAAGGTGGGAGCTCTATGGCAACACCTGCCTCCCAAAGGACAAGCCATGACCTCCTTTTGTGGTTGAATTTAGTTTCTGAGGAGGAATCAGCACCTTCACAATGAAAGAACTCTTCAACTTACCACCGAGTTGGTAGATCACCAGAACGCAGACACCAACAATGTTCTTAGCATCGACATGGGGGGCGCAGTGAACCCTTCTTTGACCTGGGAAGCATGCGTTGATGCAGAGGTTAAAGAATAGCCCGAATAGCGGCCGGAACCCATAGGTTTTTTCGTGCCAGTCAGCACACTTTCTGTACCTCCCCGCAACTCCTGGGAACATGAGTTCCACTACTGAAGTCACCCAGCGCCTAGGAGGGAGCTTGGCTCAGGTCAAGGTAGGAAAAAGGTCATGAAGCTCACGTTATGCTTTTCACAACTTCCTCCTCAAGAAAAGCCTCCACTCGGGCTTGGTTCTCCCGGTGCCAGAGTGTAAGTTTCGGGGCCTGCGGGATCCAGTCTCTTCCATCAGCTGTGGCCCCTGCCAGCCTCAACGCAGCACTCACCTTCTGGTACTGGCGGAAGTGCCCAATGATGCATGGCAGATGCGGCCCACGCCCGTTATCACGATGCTTCTTTGCTGCCGCTTCCGAGTCGAGTGTTGGTCGCAGGAGCCTCTCAATGGCTTTCTCCAAATCCTCCCGCTGACGCCCCAACCAGTCTGCAGGCGATGTTCGGTAGAAGAACGTGTGACCCTCTTGATCCTGCAGAATTGTAGGCCGATTCGCAGCCCTACAGGTGATGAGGTGAGGAAAAAAGCAGCCTGGAAGTGATAAATGATGGGCCTCACATTCCTTCATCCACATAGGGGACAGGGAAGAAAGTCTGGACGACATCTTGGATCTGTCCCTCCCTCCACTTTCTTCGTATGGTTTCCTCCGCCCAGGCGGGAGGTGGGAGGCCGTGCCATCCTGTTGAAGTCGGGGAGGTGTGTTCCACCATAGAGAAGGCCGCGTTCTGGTAGACAGCCCCCTGCAGATAGGACCGTTCATGAAGCCTTTCCTTTCGCGCCAATTGCTCATCGCCACCATGCTTCTTGAGCAGCCGGCCACCTCTAGGCCTCTTGGGCCTATTGCTGTTGGGCGCAGGCTCCGTTTTCTGGCGCTTGGACGAGGTTTGAGCTCCCTGTGGTGGTTCCTGTCTCTTCTGACCCACCACAAGAGGCTTGACTTGGACTTCCCTGATGAGACGTTAGTGCGGCTGCTCAAGAGGCCTGACCGGAGGGAAGAATCACCGCCACGAGCTACTGAGCTCTGCCTGCTGCCCGTCGTCGCCCCAGTTGAAGCCGGAGCGAGGAGATTTTCGATTTCCCAAGCCCTGAGGTGCCTGCGTCGTCAGCAGAGCATCGAAGTCGGCGGTCGGATTGTGAAGGTAGGCGCCATGTCGCACCGCTTCGGCAAGGTACTTAGCCCGTGCGCTGCGGAGGTTGTAAGGCGTTCGGAACACCTGCGACTTCGGAAGGAGTGTGAGTACTGGGTTTCGCTCCCCCTCAGTGGCTAGGGACTCACCGGTGACGGATGGCTCGTGCCAGTCTTTGCCGGCATGCGGTTCGAAGTGCGGCGGACGCCATCAGGAGGGGCCTGAGCGGAGGGCATATTTCGGAAGGCCAGACGCAATTAACAGTGTGGAGGCCGCAGTGCTAAGATGCTCGGCAAGGTCGCTGCGGGAGCAAGAGGCAACTGACGGCGAGGAGTTCACGCGAAGGCGGCACGTGAGCGCGGTGTGTCAAGTATGTGGAGCCCCCCATCAGGAAAACGTCCAATTGAACTCAACTTTGCGAAGTAAGGCGCAATCACATCGAAAGTTCCTTGACAACTTTGCAAAGTTGGGAATCCATCTTTCCGTAGCACTTTGGCACCCTTCCTGGTGCACTTTGATCAGTTCAATTGAACACTTTAGATCTCGAGCACGACGCGTTATAGAAAAAAAAAATAGCATCGACATTCAGTATCTAATTCAAATTATGTATAGGAAATGTGCGTCCCGAGCTCGCTGCTAGTTCGGAAACTTTCCCTCTCACTTCACCACTACCAGGCTCGCCTACATGACGGAGCAATGGGATTGCATGTCAGCGGACGAGGGGGGGGGGGAAGCTGCACGCTGGAGATGCATCCCTGATTGTGCTGGACCCGGATTGTAGTTAGACGGAGGCAAGGACCCTGGTTGCAGTTGGATGGGCGCAGACGCTGGCGGGGCGTGGTTATAAATTGACGGGGTTGTGGAAGTGGAGAGGGTGAAACGTGGTTGTAATTTGCTGGCGGTGCCGATGCGGATGGAGCATGGTTGTAATTTACCGGGGGTTCGGATGTGGGTGATACTTGATCTCGATTTGATAGTGCGGATGCGGGCCGTGCCTGGTACGAACCAGCGGGTGGTGCAGACATAGGTGGTGCTTCAACTTTCCAGCGACTTGTTGTTCATAATCGGCCATTCTGAGGGTCCCTCAGTTAGCACAACTGGGGCTAGATGGAACGGGATTGAATTACCTGAAGAGCTTCTTACTCCGAGCATCGCTGGCGTCGAGCTCATGTACCCCTCGTGTTTCGCACAGAGATAGATGGGCATTGGAGCTGGTTTCTAGGTGCCAGCAGCGAAGGTCTGGGCAGCAGGGAGCGTGCCAGCATGTTTGGGGGGTGAGGGCCAATCTGCTATAAATCGGTGTGAGATGGGCGGTGGTTTCTCTCCTAAAGGTGCGGACACTGACATCGTTATCATCTCCTTTGAAAATCTTCCACAACACTCAGACCAACTGCTGGTTCAGACTAACACTGCCGTCACTTGGGACCTTGACCGCCTTTTCCCTTCCCTTGACGAATGGAAAGGTTCGGGTTAGATGAGCGCTAATCGGCGACTAACAGGGAACTGACCTCAGCAGCGGTATTAGGATTTTGAAGAGGCAACAGCGCGTGAAGAGTCAGCTGAAATCGCGATGTAGGTTGTACGAGCTGATTGAAGGCCAGACTCGCTGCGGTCGAGAGAGGGAAACAGTACGCCCCCGTGAGCAGACGGCCGACTGGAGCTCGGATGGAATCGCTGGTGGCCAGTGGCTGAGAAAGGGGAGAAGATGCAGCACGCTCGTCGTCATTGGTGGTTCGGAGGGGAGGGAGTGTTGTGAATGTGTAAGCTGTTGTTTGAACTTGCATCACGTAACAACCGGGAACATGCATCCGGATTCCGAAAACAACGCACTGTGAAGTGATTGCACCCCATTTGAGTGCTTCGTTTACACTTAATCCAAGTGCATGGACACTTGGTTGAAGTGTTTTTCACACCTATATGAAGTGATGCACTATCTTCAAAACACTTGTCTACGGCGTTTTGGACACTGATCAGCCCAAAAGTGCACCATGGAATCACTGTCGAAACACTTGTATGTGGTGCACTGTCGTAGGTGAGCTAGCTACTGCTACCGATTTAGCATATAAACGGTAAAACCATATATATTCAGTAGAACTACGACTACCACACCTCTACCTACTCAATTGAGTGGCAATATTTACTCACCACGACACCCAAACGCCCTCCAATTCACGAAACAGCGCAGTCCAATGCGCTTTGAATGGGATCGAAGGCGTGCCAGCCAGAGTGCGCTAGAGAGGGTCGACAGTCCTTCTTAAACCATATGGACAATGGAGGAACCTACAGACCGCCCACAGAATTACCGAGAGAGTGCATTAAGAACGCGCCAACAAGACGCGCTCGTTTCGCGACGGCGCGCAGCTTTACCGAAATGTCCGACGTCAGCGCAGAGGGGGCTTTCTTAATGTGACAGGGGCCTACCTTGCTACCGAATGACTTCGTCCTCAAGGCAGTGTACCAATGTCAATCCCAGTGTGTAACTGAGGGGGAAAATCAGTCTTGTTGTTCAAAGCGCGTGAGGATCGACAACACACCGATTGATCCTCTCGAGCTCTGCCTTTTAAGCAAGGTATGTGCAAGCTCCCGAGGTGTTGTGCGATTTCTGGATCCATGGAACCGGCTGGGGGAAATAAAGGCAGAGAAATATCGCTACCACGAATTTCCATTTCCGGCTGGAGTTCTTCATGGAGGTTTTAGATGTCCTTTTGGACCTAGCCCGTCGTGCAGAAAAGCAAAACAGGCAACGCGACGTACTGCAATTGCGTAGAATATCATACCTCCTCTGCCTCCTCAGCCCCGTTAAACTCCTCATCCCCCGTTAGTGCCTCGATCGAGCGGCGTAACGCGCGTAGCGGTCCATATCGATACCTTCGGTGGATACAAGCAACACAAGCGTCTCGACCCGGGCAGGGATGAAGCGATACAAACACAGCTATGGATGTATGTCAATAAATAAGTTCATCAATAGATACGTACTACCCAGTCGTGTCCAAGAACCTGCGAACTTGGAGTACCGACTAACTTCAGGCCTGTGCGAAGCGTAAGATGAAATTGATAAGGAAGGCAACTGAAAACGTCGTCTAATATTGCGAAGAATCCGCTGCGG